GATCGAATGAAAACCAATAATGTTGTTTGATTTTATAAACCCTGCTCTTCGGATTACTAGACTAGCGCATCGATCCTCTGCGCCACGATCGCCATATATCTAATTTGTATAAATATTCATTTTAGTTGGCGTCATTTGATGATATCATTACTTTTGTAGAGAAGATACTTTTGTAGAGGAGATAAAATGTTTTTTTAAATAAAATATATCCAAATAATTAATTTGTATAATTCTTAATTAGGTAGCGCTTATATTTGGCGTCTTTTTTTACCTTTTTTTTAAAAAAAGGTTTTTTTAAGTGTTATAATTGACTCCAAAAACATTATCTGGAGCTAATCAATTACAAGCGGATGTAATTTCAAGGGCATATGAATGTTGAAAGTTTAAAAATAGATGGGAATCACAAGTTTAAATTTTTTTAAATTTTTGCTGCGTAAATTAATAAAACTTTGTTTTTAATCTAAGTGGTTCTAAATAAGTGAAACAACGTGTTTTAAAAAAGTCTTAGGCAAAGTGTTTGCGCATACCGCATTTCATTATAAGATTAAATAATATTTGTCTTATCGGTTCCATTAGAACGTTGCAACATAACGTTCGTGTATTAACACTTCACAACGTTAAAAAATACATATATTGAGTACACGTTTGATAATTGAGAAAATTTGTTAACATCCACAATACCAATCCATAAACACTGAATTTACCGAATCATTAGGTGGATACGTTTAGTGCAAATGAGGCATGCAGTACAATGCAGAGGAAAGGTCCCTATTATGAGATAAGTTCCTGATATGAGTTAGCAGGGTTTCTGCTAAATTAACAGGCACTACTTGTTTATTCCTCGTTTTATTGCTCTTGAAATAAAATCCATTTAGTATAAAATTTATTATTAGATCGTGTAATCGTCGCGAAAAAAGATTTGTGATTGAAATTGGACGTTGATAACCTACCATCTTATATTAGAATCCTATTTCATAATAGAAGACTTTCTCCTCTATGTAGATATTATAAATTCAGTTGATTAGTAACATGACGTATGTTACGAATGTTACCCGCATATGCCTGATTATTTCAATGCGAATAATTAAACTAATCGTTAGTTATGTAAAACTGTGTGAAAGATCTGAAGATATTATGACACGCACGAGTAAATGTGCCATGGTATTGAGAACGCAAGAGTGCAACTGTCACGAATATATAGAACGCTGATATATGCTTGCCTTTGCGATTGCAACGAACCGAGTAACAGACACTGTTAAATTCGATACACATCTGCGAGCTCCATGTTTTTTTGGCTTTCAGCAATTTTTCCACTTCCTGCAAACGAATTGCACAAGAATCGCCGTCCAACATCCTCGCTGCGTCGTTCGCTTTCAGCATCTTGCCGAACACTGTGTCTTAACTTAAGAGCCGTTCGCTTATATACGAAGAATCGGTGTATACTGCGCGTATGAGATCGCAGGCGTGCATGATACGCGGCGAGCGTAGAATTCTTTATCACTCGTACGGTCGACACAGCGTCACGTCTCGACTACATAGTCGACTGATTCCGTACTTGTTGGTCGTGGAGCGTAATGGTTCTAATCAACGCAACGCGCAATAATCCAATGGGTGTACAGTCTTTGTGGGAACAGTACATTTTCTCATAAAACTTGTACGCTCATTGGGTAATCACTCGTCGGGTTATTGCGTCGATCTACAAGAGTCACGAGAGAAACGTTATAGCCTCTCATTTATTAGTAACCAAAATGTTACATTTCGGTCAATGTGGCCAAACCAACCACCAACTAAATGTCATCTTGACTTTTTATTTGTCCTTGGCTTAGTAGCTGTTTTACGTAGTACCACGTTTCACTCACTGCCAGTTGTAACTATCGAGCACATTAGACGTATACCACAATAGTTGAGTAGTCGTTTATCTGTTAAAATGCTCTCTGCTTATCGTAATGATCGCGTAATAACATTGTATTTAAATTATATCATATAGCTTAATCACACGTTTATATAACAGTGATATTATGTTATATGTATGAATGTATGTAAATATATGCAAAAGAGTTACACCTAATTTTTTATTGAAATATCTATAACGATGAACAGAAGCAAAATAAAACGCAATGTATTTTGTTTGTATATTGGAATATTAGTATCTACAAAAATTGGGTATACATTGTCAATGAAAATATATATTTATATTATAAATGTTCACATTGCGCGACCCTCGGGTACTTTCGCGCAAACCCGAATTTATTAATAAATGTTTAAGGCTCTGACGAGAAACAAATATTAATGAAAAAGAGAGCTATGAGTCTAGACACTGTCTAGACACTGTGTGTTAGCGTCACAAAAATCTTTTTATTACAATTTACAGAACATACCCAGAGAACATTATGTCGTCTTAAAGACGTCTACAAGACGTCTTGAAAACAAATTTAAAAGACATCCTCGAGACATGTATTATTTCGACTGATCTCTTTTGCAAGGTCGTAGGTATCTCGATATTACGCAATTTTTTGTTTTTGTACTTTATAGATTACAATTCCAGTCAGAAATGACTCGTCGATCGACGTCGAAACAACATCGAAACCGTCATATTGATATCGATTCGACTTCTTTTCGACATCGAACGACAAGTCATTTGTCGCTGAGGTCAAGCTGCCGCTGCAAACGCTTCGAAGCGTTTCTCTTCTCTTACTGAAAGAGAAGAGAAGAAGAATTGTTCCCATTACCTTATTATGAAAGTAGTGCATAACACAAATATTTCTCGACAAATATAACAATTTGTACTTTTCAATATACAATTATTCTTTCAAATCGATTACGCTTTTTGGAAAAAAATATTGAAAAGTCTATTAATGGATGTAAAAGTCTGTTGCTTCTAACTTCAATAAAATTATTTTATTAAAATAGTTAGTAATGTGAAAAATAGTTGTCATTATTCTTTGCTTTAATCAAAAGTACATACTATTTTAAAACAGAGAATTTATCATTTTAACGGTAATGTAGAGAATATTTATCATTATTTCTCAGCTTTTATCAAATTTCATATTTATTATAAATATATTAACAAAAATTAAGCTAACAAAAATTTAAGCTTTCACAAATTTTTTAAAATTATCATTATCTTACTTATCGACATCGAAAAAGTTTAAAAATTAATTAAAAATAAACGGTACAAGAGCGACGATTTTCGTTCTTAGAATATATTTTACGCATGAAAACACATAAATTTACCAAAATCGTACATGTGGACATTATACCCCTACTAGCACAGTGCATTGGCTAAACATTGGTCCAATACAACCAAATATTGAGCCAATGTTTAACCAATGTTTGGTCAATGCACTGTGCTACTAGAGACTGCATTTACCTTATTTTTAAAAACTTTCAAAAATTATCTTAGCAATATGTCACAGATGCTTTATGTATATTGTCACTTCCTCGTGTCGCGTGCGCGTTCTACATGTGTCACTTACACACTTACACACACTTACACACTCGCGCTTACGAAATGACTCGGACTCGGGTCAACGAGATAGGAGATTTATTGACAAAATACAGCGGAGTAGAGGAGAATCCGTCTTTTTTATTACAAAACTTCTCCGGAAATCCTGTCAATATCTTCCGTTGCTAAAGAGCGCTGGTCAATCTCCTAACAATTAGAGACTCGATCCAGCTGACTCGCCAGGATCACAATAACACGAGTGCAACAATATATTTAACAAACGTATAATTTGTTTCTTTATAAGAAAAAAGATGACGAAAAGATTTTTATGTCTTTCGGTAAGACGAAAAAATATTTTTTAGTTGATTTTTCGCTTTACCGAAAGGTGACTTTAAACTTCTTGAAAATGTCGACTTTCAGTCTACATATGTATAGTTAAAGTCGACAATAGACCATCCTATACATAGTTGACTAAATGTCGACTTAAAAAGTTAACTTCAAGGTGACTAAAGTGTCGACTATTAGCCGGCAAATAGTCATTTGTGCTATGTGGGATCTATGACAAAATATGCAGCATTAATTTTTCTTTTAGTGTCAATTGCCGCTCTCTTAATACTTCTTTTAGTTTTTGGTTAAATAATAATTTGTGTACGAACAGTTTCTTGACTTTATCAATATTTCATAAAACAATCATTTTTAGAATTTTTTATTTGTAATTGTTTTATTTCATCATTTTGTTAGTAACTGCAGACCCAGATAGCACACATAGTTCTATGTATATTTTTCTGGAGTGCAAATATTCTTAATTTCAGATTATTCCAATCGAATATTCTATAAATATATTACATATAGATTATTACAATTAGAGATTATATATTCATAACAAAGAACCCAAACAACACGTATGTCTAAAAGGCACTTTAAGACGTCTTTAAGTCATCTTCTAGATATGTATAAGATACTACTAAAAGACGACTTAAAGACATCTTAAAGATGGCTTTTAGACATGCGTGCTGTGTGGGAAGAACGTTTTTAGAATATTCGTCGAGAATGCCTTTGGAATATTCGTTCAGAATAATTTTTGAATATTTATCGAGTTTATGTATTGTACATTGTTTATTGTGTAATACATATTTATCTTATGCAAAAGGCAGTGAAACCTGTGATCATACCATGTATATGTATAACCGACACGCTGTATTCGATAGATTATTCTATTCTTATTCGAAAAAGATTTATAGTAGTGCCAGTCGAATATTCTACGAACATAAGATAAATATATGTATAAGAATGACCTATGTGGAATATTCCAAATAGTTTTGAAGAATATTCTTAAAATGTTCATAGAAGTGTCTTGTGCTATCTGGGGATATGTATAACATTTATAACAGAGAAATAAAGAAAAGTTAGATTTCGTTTTAAAACGAAAACTCGCACATAGCTTGAACGAAAATGTCATGGTAAGTTTGAAATAAATTTATATCAATAATAATAAATAATAAAGATAGTTAATATATATATTATATGGGATATATGTATAGATTTATCAAAAAGATTTATCAAAGTGTACATGTTTTATTTTATCAACTGTAGCACAATATTGTAACAATTACTATAATTAGTTTTTTTTTACATATATTACAAGTGCATGTATGGCGCATCACATGGATTACAAGAAACGAGTTAATCTTAACAAGCGAACTCACTAAACTTTATTTACACGTCTACCATATGTAATTGTAAAAACTATATCAAGTTTTATCTCAAGGTGTATTATATTATAAGCGTTTCTTGATTCTTACGTTTAATATAATATATGCGAGAATATCCAAAACAATACACACCACTATCAGTATTATTATATTGAACCAATAATTTATGTCCTCAATACCCCATTCCATGAGGAATTTTTTAGGAACAGCGTAGTGGCAGTAAATCTTCGAGCATTTCAATTTCGCCCGATCGTAGCTACAATTATAAATATTATTTTCAGATTTTGTGATAGAAAAGAGAAAGGACAAAACGAGAAATTAAATAAATTTAGCTGAGTAATAAATATTAAACCAATCTTTAAATATCTAGATATACAAAATTTAGAATAAATGCATTATAGTTATTAACTGTCGTGTATTGAAAGATAAGGATCTTACCCATAAATCGCCAACAATACTCCCTCAAAAGCATATTTAAAGAACGAAATGTCAAACAGCCACCGTAAATAGGGATGCACGTCTTTAGCGGACACGAAGAAACCGCTGAGCAAAAGGAATGGCATAATTGCAAACGGCCCAAAAATTACGCTATCCTAAAAGAAAGTAATTGTCAATTTACAAATTGTAAATAGATGAATTAGTCTTAAATTCAAAACATGTTTCCTCCGAGCCTCTTAAAATAAGAAGAGATGCAAAAGAAAAAATATAATCGTTAATATAAATTTGAAATAGATTAGTACAAACTTGGACTTTTAGTGCAGACCCTATGATGAATCCAGTTGTTTGACCAACCAGACTGGCTATAAAGCACATGAGCATGTACAGCCCAAATCTTCTGCTTTCAGAAAGTTGATCGCTCATGTAATACACTATGACTGTATAGATGAACGTGGCAATAAATTGGACTGGAAAATCAACCAATTTGCCCGCTATATAGTACGACTGTAGTTTGTACCAACGATTAAAGTGTTCACGTTTAAGTATTGGTAAATCCAAAGGAACTGTAAAAACACACGAAAATATAATAACGTTTCAGAGTATCCGTTAGGGATTATAAAATTTACAATAAAATCAAATATAACCGAATGACGTATTGACTATAGTATATTAGGTCTTATATTTTAACTGTTTACTTATAAGATCTTACTATTTTTTTCTTCTTGTGTAATTTTACGTAAGCGATATTTAACGAGATGTGATCACACATTTACGATACAAATATCAATTTATATTGCTGTATATTGTGCTAAATAAATATGTCATGAGATTAGATTTATTATGTCAAATGCAATAAACTTACTTGTGACCATTGTGGCGCTAAATGCACTATATACGAGAAACATGATGTTGTAATATAATAGTCTATAATTGTCTAAAACATAATCAGCGTTTTGACCGATTTTGAAGTACAACGTGCCGACAATCAAAGCAATCGCTAAGTGCAGGGTGATCCGTAAAAGCGCAAAGACCTAAATAAATAAAATTAAATGAAAAATAAATCAAAATTTAAATTTAAAAGAATTACTAATTCTTTCACATTAATATTAATCGATACCATAATATAAATTATATTAAAACATACGTTAAATGAACATTTACATGTATAATTATATATTTTCTTTCCTCGATATTTGAGTGAGAGAATAAGAGAAATTTGTTTAAGCATAAAACAGCAATGTATTACCTTATCGCGAAATAATCTAATGGAGTTTCTTTTGATAAGAACACAAAGTTGTTTCCAGAAGTTAGCAGTGTAATATGGAGTTTGGGTGAATTCCGTTTCGAAGGAATACAATCTCTTTGCCATCTGTTGTGATGTAATAATTTCTTTGCACGTATCCGAGTAAAAGATTTTCGATGTAGATCTCCATACAGAACTCCTACCATTCTCGATCGATTCTACCAGCTTAGATATATAAGGACCATAATCGCCGTTGCATATCTCCATCACTACGGAAAAAGAGCTTTATTCGTACCGTCAAGATTTTTGCGCGAGTGGTTTGCCTGCTTTATAAATATGCAGCTTACAGAAATCAACAGGATCGTAATGCGTTGGACAGTGTAATCCTACACTGTTTAGATAAGGCACCAAATTGTGCGTACTGCCCGTGTAAACACAATTGCCGTCAGCAACCACGTAAAGATGATCCAACATGTTGAAAAGGATCGCGCTCGGTTGATGAATCGTGCAGATAATGGTTCGTCCTTCTCGTGCTAATTGCTTTAAAAGTGCTAGGCATTGTTTTGAAGAAGTGCTATCTAAACCGCTAACAAGATTAATTAATGACAGTTATATAACAAATACGTGACAAAACAAATAAGCATAGGTTTTCGTCCAGAAAATCATGTAATATCTACCTCGTGGGTTCATCAAGAAACATGACTGGTGGATTGCTCATCAGTTCGAGTGCAATGGCGAGTCTTTTTCTTTGTCCCCCGCTAAGTTTGCTGGTAATCGTATAACGAGACTCGTCGAGGCCCATCGCTATTAATATTTCGTCGATCTATCACATCAATTAACTTTTACCCATTAAAATAACTTCGTTATAACAAATACACATTATTAAATATACAAACTTAATCATTTTATTATTATTACGAAACAGAATATAATGCGCGCATTATTTATTTGATTCATACACAGATTTTTTAACTCTTAAGAAATTTTTATTAAATATTGTTAAAGCAAATATTTTTTATGATACAATCGATCGAAACTTTTTGAGTTGCACAATATTCATGCTAACCTTGTCACGTTAGATATTTTACTCAATCTCCCAAAAATTTTATACATACAACACGTAATACAACCACAAGAAGTTCACTATATATACTATAATAATTGTACTGTCAGTCATGTTTACCTTTTGTGATTTCTCGCGATAATTTAATCCGAGCTTGAGATCGGCAACAATAAGCATAGCTTCCTGCACTGTTAAAAGTGGTTGTAGATTATCGTCCTGCATTATGTACGCAGATAATTTACGAAACTCTGATATATTTCGTTCTCGTCCATTCACCATGATCCTACCAGTGACCGAAGTTGTCCTGAAATGCGATATGTCATTAATGTGTATATCATTGATTTGTATTTCATAATTTCTCTTTATCACTGTGTGTGTATACAATCAATATACAATCTATGCGTGTCATATACATATGTATATCTATTTGCTAGAAATAAATAAAATTATAACTCACTAGCTCGCTATTCTCTCTGATTAACAAGTACATACATAATGGATCATCCTATAAGTGATACGGTTTTTACAGAGTTTTATTGTAATAAAATAAAATTGAATTTGTATTCAAAATATATTTTCTATTGCACTAAACGTATGTCAGACTTATCAGGTGCGATAAGAGAGTGGGAGGTTATCTCTATTCTAATATACCACAATAGTGTTGTGCGCGGTTACCCCATGTTCGCAATTCCTCACTCGCCCTTATGGGATGACTCAAGGTATGTACGTTATAATTAAACAATTAATTGCCATTATTTGATATGGCACATATATACAATGGTAGGACAATTTACCAATCAATTGCCAGTTACGTTTGCAATTGTACAATGGTTAAAAAGAGAAGAAGATAAAGATGCATGAAAAGATAAGAAGGGGCGAAGAAGATAAGATTAAAAGCTCATTTTTACTTGCGATATCGCGATATATTGGAGCAGATGTATCTAAAGAGTGAACGGTTACACTGAGAAAATTAAGTATCGTAACTTATCTAACGTGGATTATTCAATTACATATGCTGCTTTTCGATTAAATTTGATCGGTAACTGCAATTTTATGGGATAAATTTCATCGAATATATCCATAATTTAATCGGAAAACTTAGAAAAACCGATGGTTAATTTTTCATCGGAAACACTATTAGAGTCATCCGATGAAAATTTTTCTCAGTGTACTGATATTAGCGTATGATAAAGTGTATTAATGTACGTGTATTGTGTGACACTATGTGCGCAGAATTTCCAGTAAAACCCAAGTAACATAGTAAAAAAATCAAGTTACATAAATTAATTATACAATTTCCACCTAACACTGCGTCACATTACGTTTACCTTGTTGAGTAGGAAATTATAATATTGATGTTATGTAATTGATACTTGGTGTTCACTGAGTTTTGTTTAAAACCGAGTGAACTAAAGTGCGTAAAGGTTCTAGCATAAACACACAATCTACAGTTCAGGAAAAAGATTTCATAGTGTAAAGAGACCTCGTTAATCAAAACTGACAATGATAATGAAGATTACCCGTGTGTGATATCTAAATTCAAGGCTGTTTTTGAGCGGTTATCGATCAAATACTTTCGTTTCGGATGAACATTCCAGTTCACATTTCCAGTTAACATTTAGAATACGTTCAGTAGAATCTTCAATTCACAGGACACCTTGAAAAATGGAGAGATCCATTCTTAATGTTCCGAAGCTAATCATAAATAAATTATACAACTTGATCTCAACGTACAACTTTCCATAATTTCTATTAACAAAGTCTTTGTTTCAATCACATGATATTTACTAGATATTTGTATCTGCGTAATTCTGTTGATTTCTAAAGTTAATTGTGATGCTAATATTCTTGTCGCCCGTGTACACACGTGTGGGCGCATTTCCATGCTTGTGAATTATGTAACAAATCCTACACATTGTAAGAGAGATAACATTTTTTTAAATTATAAATTAATCATCTTAATGCAAATTGTTTGAACAGTCAATAGCAGAGAGAGATGGTTTTACCTACTGTACACTCATTTGGATTTAAAAAATTTACGAGTTTTTTTCTCCGACCATCATAAGATATTGTTGATCACAGTGTAATACGAATTGTATACTAACGTGAAACCTGCCAGGATGTCCATTAATGTGGATTTTCCAGCGCCAGAAAGACCCATAATAGCTGTGAGTTCGCCCGGTCGAAAGTCGCCATTAAGATCACTCAATAATTGTTTTCTCCCTATAAAATAGATTGCATAATTATTTTTTTTACAAAAGTATTTAATAAATAACATTGTTTAATATTCGCACATGATAGGACGTTACACATACGCATAAACGAAATGCAATGAATGTCCTAATTACAATCTAAAGAAATTATTGTGTCCCACCAAAGTGAAAGTTTCACATCAGGACAGACCGGCATGTTGCCACTGCAGTAAAATATAGCCAAAGGATAATAATGCTACTAAATAACATTTATGTTGTAAAGGAAGCTCGTAATAAATTATCACATTTTGTAATTTAATTTAAATAAAAAATAAAAAATTCCTTATAGTGATGCCTTCGTGTAATATTGTATGTTAGAAATTTGTATTAAACAGATCTCTTTGGTTTTCCCGTTTTCTACTTAATATATGTTATTTAATTTGCAATCCATTTAATCCGAGATTGATAAGTCTTTGGGAAACATATGTAATTTTAATTGAAGTCGAATTCCATTGTAGGTAAAAAATTTAACACTTTATCTTCGATATATTTGACCTAAATAACTCTTTATATATGTATATTTTCACTGTATTTATTAATGACTTTATTGATTCATACATGTATTCACGAAGAAATAGAATCATTTCTTTACCTTAATTGTTGATAAACAATAAATACTGACACTTAATTGAAGTCGAATAATAAACAGTAATTTACATAGATTATATTGAGTTTCAAGACAGATATTATGTAAAATGATTATTATATTTGTTATTAAATTATATATAAAACTTTAATTATACATAAAAAATTAAATTTTATATATAAAATATCACAAGTGTTTTTACAAATTCTGTAAAGGTAAAGTGTATACAATAAAAACTTTATTAGGATTTATTAACAAGTAAAGTTTCTTATCAACTCAGTGAACAATAGGCATTGATAGAATGAACTCTTGAACTAAATGTTTTTATGTAATCAATTTTACAGCACTATCTTGCAACACGAGAAGTCGCGATTAAAATTATGCTAATAGTCTTGGCACTACGGTGCATTTATTAATGTACATAAATTTCATATTGCAAAAATTCTTAACACATAGCCAAAGAGCCAATCCAAAAATATATGGATCCCATGGGTCTAATGAGTTACGATTTCTTTTCTATATCACTGATAACTTAAGTATGGAAAAAAAATCGTGACTTACCAAATGGACACTTTTCAAATATTACTGTAGTTTTATTAATGCCATGTCATCAATATACGGTGACTTGGCGTTATGGTGTTAGAAAAAGTTACAAGAGACTGTTAACAATTATATAATAAAATTATATAACTACCTTCATTTTACTTTCATTTCTAATTTATTTTTCAAAATATATTTTCAGAAATAAATTTATATATAATATACATATGATTGGATATGATTGAATTTGTCTTTTTATAATGAATAAATAATGTAATTATAAAAATGTAAAAAATTTGTTTTTAATGGTAAATAACAGGGATATTTTAAAAAACATTTTCAGAAAATTTAAATATACTGTTACAAAGTAATTTTGAAACAGTTTCATTTAAAATAATTTTGCATATCACAAATAATAGAAACGCCGTTTACGGTTTTTACGGTCGGACTGCATCTTAATGTCTAATTATATTTTTGCGTATGCGCGTGTTTCCAACAAAGCAAACTGCGCGCCGATAACTAAATACAGCATTTAGCTGATATCAAAAAAGTATACTTAATTAAATTGATAATCGATTTAATACTATTCCTAAAATAACTATTTCCTCTGAAAACATACGCTGTAAAGAATTTATTGCAAAAAATATTATCCCAGTCAGGATTTGCATATTTTATAATCTCGATATAGCATATATTTAGAAATATAAAATTCGAGTTTTACAAAAAAGTGTTTTATCGCCTTAACAGCGCATGACTGCGCTTGCAAACAAAAAAGTGTCTCTTATTTTGATCTATTCTACGTCATATTTAAAATCGATGAAAATAGAAACATGGATTCCGTTTTTTAGGTGTGCTAACATCTTAAAAAGTTTAGAATAAACATGTATGACTCCATTGTCTTCTACATCATAACTGTTTAATTATTCAGTTTGAAATAACTGGCCTTTATTATTTATAATACGAAAACAGATATTTGCTATTATTACAGTTGTATATTATCAGTAATTATGACTGTTTGCAATTATTAAGTTGCAAATATACATTGTATAGTTAAGTAGTGATTTATTAGTTCTAAGTAGATTTATTAGTGATATTATAATGTCTGTTTTAACGTTTAACATTAACATTACAAATATTTGTATCTTATATGCATACATATATACATATAGAAGATACGAATATTTGTAGCTTATATATATATGTATATTAATATACTTTACGTTCTTAAAAAATATGTAAATTTATCTCGGTTATCTTCAAGATTTTAGAGATCTTCTAGAGATAGATATATCCAGATAAATAATATATCCCGGTAACAATTGAATACCAATCATAAGAGCAATGCAACATATATCATTATCTTGCTACACTTTGAAACGAAGTCAAACAGTAAAACTCACGTATATCTTATCGATTTTAAAGTGCTCTCAGCTACCATTGGTGCAACAGTGTGTCTTTGTTTTAAGAATATTCGTTTTCTAAGCGACGGGCTCTTATCTTAGTTTTCATATTTATGAAACAAGCGCGAAGTCGATCAAAGTTCCCATTAGTCTCATTTAAAAGCCACATTGTTTAGTAAACGTTAATAAACTCTTACTTGCTGCCGCAAACTTTTAATAAAAATTTCCATTGCACACAGCGATCTCTATAAATTATACTTTTACACGAGCAGTTGTATCGTCTAAACCTAGGATCAATAACGTGTGTAATAGAACATCAATTTTTACGCACAACATTTTTTTGTATAATTATAATAAACTCTCTCTTTCTTAACGATATATTTATATCACTCTGATCGCATTGCGTTATAAAATACTTGCTATACATTACTTTTACTATTATTATTCTTCTTAATTAGTACAACTACATGATTTTGACGAATGTCTCTTCACCTTTTGTCAAGATCCCTTTCCGCACGCTATACGATATGTCCTCAAAGAGCAGATAGAGCGATCTGTCGACTTGCCCGTCGTCCGCGCACTGTTGCGGGTCGCACGTCCTTTCCGCAGCTCTCATCGTCACTTCACCGTTGCCAGATACGCTCGATCGGCGTCACACCTTTCTCGTCGACAATCTCCGCGCCGAGTTTTCGCCGTGCGTGTGCGCGTTTCACATTTTCTGCCGCGCGCTTTCCTTTTGCCCGATCGACTGGCACACAACTTCGCCGCGTTCGATTCTGCACGCACGCCTTTATCCCGCGCGCGTTTTCCACCTGCCCCCGATCGACTAGCGCGCAACTTCCCCGCGCGTTCCGTTTATCCGACCGATTAGCGAGCAACTTCGCGACATTCGATTTTTTATCCACGCGCGCGTGCACGCTGAACGCCACGACGTCGGCGCGTCGCGTCCGCGACAAAGCGAGAACTTGAATCGCGTTCGCGACACGCCGTCTCTTGGCGTTCCAACGCGCGGTTTCTGTCGTCCCTTGTCTGCCGACGATCGCGAAATCGACGATCAAAGTCCAGCGCGCGGCTCTTTACGACCGGTGTGAATCCGCGTTATCAGGACGCGCTCTCACCGAGAGATAAGATTCATTTGTGTCGGGAGGAAAATTGGCGCACGCTCATTTTGTCATTTCCTACGAAAGCGTAATATATTAAATTCTGTATATCAAGGAACTTGAGAAGAAATAGGAAGCAGTCTTTTGTTCCACACCATCTGATACGATTCTGCAAATTGAATCATTTACCGTAGCGACCCAATAAACGCCAAGTAACATAACATCAATATTGTAATTTCCTACTCAACGGTATAAATGTAGTATAACGCTTGGCAAAATATATGGTATTTTATAGAAAGCCTTAAAATTTTACTTTAAAAAAATAAGAAATATAAAAAGTAAATTTGGACACTTAAAACTTTTCTTTAAGGTAAACTTACTTTAAGAATTTAAAAGAAATGTTTAAGAGAGAGAGAGAGAGAGAGAATTGTGAAAAGTATGTGATATAATTTATAATACCGCATGCGGTTTTCTTCTTACGAGAGAAAGTGCTCTGCCGCGCGGCCCTCTAGCGGGAATTTCGACAGGCTTGGCTATCTAAAAATTACTCCAAAGTTACTTCAAAATTTCTCAAGTAAAAACTTTTAACTTCTTTAAGTAAACTCTTCGATTTGAAAGATTACTTTTCAAAACTTTAATTTCATTCAGAGTAAATTTTCCCAAAGGATGTGGAAGTTCCGCGGAAAAATAAGGGAATATTCCATTCGATTGATTGCCTGCTTTTGTTCACGCGTCGTAAGAAAAGAAATAATGTCACAACTGAAGAAAGACTAAATGAAATGAAAATGATTGATAAGAAAGCGCTCGATAACATTGTATCTCTCCCTATTTTGTAAATTAATTTTATTCCTTTCTGCTTGTTGATCGCATTTTTCTTCCTCGTCAAAGGTTAGACAGGTAATGGTATTTTCCAATGTTTTTTTTTGGAGCTGCATGGAAAACTGGTTTTGTATTTGTCAGAGAAAAGGAAAAGGGAAAGAGAGAGAGAGACACTGGCATAAAACACAACTTCGTAAAACTTTATTTATGTACGGTATTCATAGTTTGTCTCAGGCCGGTATTCACAGTCCGTTCTTATATATGTATAAATTATATAAATGATTGGGGTTACCTAACAAAACATCGGTTAATTGCTAACCAGAGGTTAGTCGACTCCCTATCCTTTTCCATATTATTATAAGAGAAGACAATTATTTGAGAAAAAGGACAGAAAATCGATCGATGCCCCTTCGGGACAGTCGGAATTATTTGCCGCGGACAAAAGAACTCTGCTTTTTTTCTTAATTTCTCCCTTCACGGCGAATGCCGCCGACCTTTTGGTCATTTAGCGTACACTTCCCGCTTGATGTTCTGAATTCTTACTATCATCCCTAAATCCTCTCCTTCTCACAATCTGCCCTTTCGGCTACTCGTATCTAATGACGTGCGACGGCCCCGCGGGGAAAAGAACTCCACCGGTCGACTTAAATCATCGACGAGGTTCAATCGGGGTCGTTCGGAATCGAGTCTCCATTCCGGACAGCCCCCGGAATTCGACGAGGAGCCCCTCCGAGTTTCGTTTCCGTTTCACCTACCGGCAAACCAGATCGCCGAAAAGCTCACGCGCCGCCGACGCGCGCTACTGACTGGCGTACGTGACAAACGCTGAAAATTCGAATCTCCCACGCCGCTGGCAGGCGGCGCCACGGTCGCCTCGGCTCGAGATCCGACGTCGGAACGCCACCTTGTCGTGATACGTACGGACGACGCGCTGCTTGGTAGCATCGACGGACGACGACGACGGTGCGCGCGTGTGTGTGTCATCGAGAAGAGCCTGTGCCACTCACGATAGGACCTCGCGGACGATGGTACTGATACCGGAGAGGTGATCCCCAGGCGTGTCTGTCGTGTAAGTACCGCGCAACGTTTCCCCGCGGAAGCTCGGCCGCGACGGCGCCGCTCCCGCCCCGCTTTATCTCGCCGTCCCGATGCTGCCTGGGGCCTCCGTAGCTCGTCCGCCAGGCACGTACGCACGCACGCACGCACGCACGCACGCACGCGTGCACGCGCACGGATGACCTTCCGGGTCGAGCGGGATCGCCCGGACGCCGTCGGACGGCTCGTCCATGTCGAGAAGGCCCTCCCGTCCGACGGAGTCCTGGCGACAATAGATAACTACCATTTTGTTTATAGGCTCCTTCCACCGCCACCAGCGGCGACACTTCTCCCCCTCTCCGTCCCCGCTTCCGCCGCATGGCTCGCGAAACTTTCCGACTCCCGTGCTCCAGGGCTTCCCTGTGCTCGGCGTCGTCGCGGGTGAGATCGCATCTTCCGGCTTTTTTTACCCCCCCCCCCCTCCAAAAAGACCACGAACTCCTGTTTTTACCGATCCGTGCTCCGGTTGCTTCTCCCCGCGTCTCGCGCCGCGGCGCCGTAGCCCGCTGTTTGTTTACGCGTAAACTCGACGCGGAATCACGTGCAGGGAATTGTCAGTGACGAGGGATTGAATGAGATGCAACGTGAGAAACATTTGTACATTGTACGTTGTGGACCCGTGGATGCTGCGTACGACGGGTCTCCTCTCGTTCAAGAGCGTTGACCCACCATTACGAGATAGAGAATTTCCACCTTTCGGTATTCGTGAACTTTTCTGTGCCGCAGCCAATCGACATGCTCGAAAAATTCGTCGTGTCACAAGTAAAATGGTAACCTGACCTGACCTCATCTGATCTGGCGCGTCCCTTAGCTCCATCGGAAACGAAGAGGATCGGTTATTTCGCCATATCGTTGAACCGCGGCGTTTTATTCCCGCGAGCCTTCTTAGTGACGACAAATTGTTGCTTCAACCGGCGTAACAATTCGTGAAATTTCCTCGGGACGTTTTGGAGTAATTTTCTAAACTGATAGAAAGGAGGCAAGGGGAGAGTGCACGCGTAGTCTGATACGGGCTTTAGGGTTAGAGCGCGAGGTGATGTAATAGCTTACGACAAAGATGCAAGCCAAGGTAGACGACCGAGGGGGGGAACCGCTGGGGGCATTGTGGTGTAGAGATTTGCGGCATTACTGGCCATTACTAGGGCATTTTTGGGCATTAGGTCTTGCTGGGGCATTGTAAAGATAAAATAAGATAATAAGGTGAAGTAATGCCCAGTGGGTGTACAAGATTTTGGTCAGCGGTTTCCCCCCTCGTAGATAACGCACAAGCTTTGGCGTAAATGTAACGTCATATGTAATTGGAGGTAAGTACGGCATACGCCAAGGCTTTTGCGCGCTAATTTACATTTACGCTTACGTCTTGGTCGTAAGCTATTATGTATAAAGGCCTGCGTCCACGATGCTAGAACTCGGTCGAATATTCCATAAAAGCTGCAAGTTGATGGCCACACATTTCTCGAAACTAGAACGTGGACCAAGTTCCAGTTTCGAGAACGCATCGTAGACGTGGGCCTTGCCGCATGTTCATTCGCGCATGTAGAGGAAAGTCCCCTGTTACGAGATAGGCTCCTGACATGAGACAGCAGGATTTCTGCTAACAATAAGTTAAAAGCGAGGGGGACACCGATGACCAAAATCTTGTACACCAATGCCCACTAATGCGCAGTGGGCATTACTTTACGTTATTATCTTGTTTTATCTTATTTTATCTTTATAACGGTCCCAGCAAGGTCTAGTGCCCAAACTAATGCCCAAAAACTGCCCCGTAATGCTGCGAATCTGCGCACCACAATGCCCTCAGCGGTTTCCCCCTCGGTTAATAGGCACCATTTGTTTATTCCACTATGAATTTGTTGTGCTTGTAGTGAAAACTATTTAGTAGAAAATTTATTGTTAGATCATGTGATCACCGTGCAATGGGATCTGCGATTGAATTTGAATGTTGAAAACCTGCTATCTCATATTAGAAGCTTATCTAATAAAAGGGGACTTTCCTCTATATTTTTTGCATACAGTAAAACAAAGGTCGTAACTTTATGTAACTGAAGAAAAATGTTCCGTCACCTTGTCGTAATTTTATAATTGCGTTCAAATCTCTAACAGCAAATATTAAAGGCTGTCCTTCCAAGGAAAATAAGCGAAAAGAACGTCAGGCTTTTTTCAAATATTTCTGAAATAGTTCTGACTTCTAAAGCTTAGATTGTTCGATAACATTGTGATAATTTTGTTAAAGTAATATCTTTCGAAATAAATTTGTGAAATGTTTCAAGGCAATTTCGTGAGAAACTAATTTAAATCGCCGAGAAATTGCGTCATGTATATTGTTTTCCTTTTAAATATACGTTTTTTTTACTAAGTAGCTAAAAAAAGCGGGCTTGATTGAGGTGCATGTCGCTTATACTTCGTTTTGTTTCCATTTTCAAAATCAAACTCCAAGACTTTGTACAAAGTTAAATCTCTTGTAATAAATTCAGTTCATGTGCAAAATATTAATGTCATCAATTGCATTGACATGATTTTGTTATGCAAGTAAAGAAAAATTTATCTTATCATATTTCTATAATCATAATTTTTTCTAGAATTTCTTTTAAAATACATATGTGAAACGTTAAAGGCAATTTTAATTAATTAAAAATTAAATTAAATCGTTGGGAAATAGCGCCGTGTATATATTATATTCTTTTTAAATATACGTTTTTTAATGTATTTTGTAGCGTAAAACAGCGGGTTTGTTTGAGATACATGTCGACTCATGCTCCGTTTCGTTTTCTCAAAATTAAACGCCAAAAATTGGTATCTTTTATAATAAACCTAGTTCACGTGCAAAAATTTTGATTTCGTCAGTTGCATCGATTTTGTTATATAATTGAAGAAAGACGTTTCGTCATCTTTGTTGCACCTCTATAATTAAGTTCAGAGATTTGGTCAATTTTGATATCTTGATTGATTATATTTTTGTGTCTTACATTCGTTATCGCACAGTGATTTTCTATTATAATTTGATTTGAAAAGACGAAGACACACAAATTATATCACCTTAGTGGCCGTAAGACGCTGCTATCTCCTTTCCGTCGATAAAGCGCGATAAATTGTTGCAAGAATTTTTGCCGTGTATTACGGTACGCGCAGACGTTTTCTTAATGTTTAAAAAGAAATTAAGAGTCGTCACTGTCTGTTGGATCTAGATATTTATCTAGATATCCATCTGTTATCTCAGCGAGACACGTGGACGAATCATTGCTTTTAGCTCGGCAAAGAAACGAATTAGAGAGATTAAAAGTTGCTCATTTGTAAGAGTAAATCTAGTAGCCAGTTTTATCATTTGTGTCTAGCTAAAATGGATTTTAAGAGAAAAATTAACATTGACTTTATAACTTCACCAAGTTTTTTTACTTTATTTAGTCATAGGCCGGTATTCATAGTCGGATCTTTTCTATTCAAGACCGTCTTGAATTTATCTAAAGATGCCGAGAAAGATGCTGTATGGAACATTTCATTGTCTACGAAGTATCTAAAGATGCGGTCTTGAATATAAGATCTGACTATGAATACCGGCCATAGTACGGACATTATACAATGTAAGCCGAGGGGGAAACCGCTGACCAAAATCTTGTACACCAATGCCCACTAATGCCCAGTGGGCATTACTTTATCTTATTATCTTCTTTTATCTTATTTATCTTGTTTTATCTTATTGTATCTTATTGTATCTTATTTTATCTTTATAATGCCCCAGCAAGACGTAATGCCCAAAAAATGCCCTAGTAATGCCCAGTAATGCCGCAAATCTGTACACCACAATGCCCTCAGCGGTTTCCCCCTCGATGTAAGCTTTAGAAGTCAGAACGATTTCAGAAATATTTGAAAACTGCCTGACATTCTTTTCTTTTGTTCGCTTATTTTCTTTGGAGGGACAGCCTTTATTCTCTTGTTACAACAGCCTTTTACATTTATTGTTAGAGAAAGATATCTTAAAAAGGCACGCAGCTCTGTGTGAAGCGATTAGTAATGTGTCCTTGGTTCGATTCTGGTCCTTATATTTTCCCGTTAAGAGAAAATTTATGATTCCACATTTGAAAACTTAAGGGGATGCTAGGGTGATTCTGCACTTTTGACACCTTTTTCTCTTAGAACTGTCAATTCGTGAAAACATTTGTGTAATATATAAATTATGTGGCTTTTGTGTACGAACCGACATTGTTCCACTATTCGGACTAAATCAGAGATCAGCATGGCATCATTGAAATTAAGTTTAGAAGCCTAGCAAAAAATATATAAAAAGTTAGGTAACCTATAACTTATTCGAGTGAATAGACTTCTTGTTAAGCTCCTAAACTTCATTTCAATAATACCATGCTGTTCTTTCACTTAAACTGAACGTATTATGTTACTACAGCCACATTTCTTTATAACCAATAATTATCGAAGAAAATATCACAAGTAACGTTTGTTTCTAAATATATCGACTTTTTTCTCTCAGTGTACATCAAGGATGTACTTCAAAATTTTGTTTTGCAGTTATAACGAATTCAGCAATGGCTAATTCAAGAGGGATACCCCGTATACAGGTCTTTAGACCGACGTACGAAGAGTTCAAGGATTTCACGAAATATGTGGCGTATATGGAAAGTCAGGGAGCTCACAAGGCCGGGCTGGCAAAAGTGATACCGCCGCCCGAATGGGTCCCGCGGAAGTCGGGCTATGATCTAGATAAGCTAGATCTCACCATTCCAGCGCCAATCTGCCAAGTTGTCACTGGGAAGCAGGGGCTTTACCAGCAAATTAATATCCAAAAGAAGTCGATGACTGTACAGGAATATGACAAATTGGCCAATTCCGATCGTTACGCCACTCCTCGTCACTTCGACTACGAGGATCTCGAGAGGAAATACTGGAAGAACATAACGTACGTGGCACCGATATATGGCGCGGATGTATCTGGCTCCCTGACGGATCCGGACGTGAAAGAGTGGAATATCAATCATCTAGGGACGATTCTGGATTACGTTAACAAGGATTACGGCATATCTATCGATGGCGTCAACACGGCTTACCTGTATTTCGGAATGTGGAAAACCACATTTGCCTGGCATACGGAGGATATGGATCTTTATTCTATTAATTATTTACATTTTGGCGCGCCGAAAACGTGGTACGCCATACCGCCGGAGCACGGCCGTAGATTGGAAAGACTTGCCAGCGGCTTTTTCCCAAGCAGCTATCAGTATTGCCAGGCGTTTTTGCGCCACAAAATGTCTCTGATATCTCCCCAAATACTGAGGCAATACTCTATTCCATGTAACAAAGTAAGTTTGTTTTCCATTTACGCATTACGCACGGTTCCCAAGTTGCTTACAGCTATTTCTCATATCTGTGCTTCTATAGATAACGCAAGAAGCTGGAGAGATAATGATTACATTTCCATATGGCTACCATGCTGGTTTTAATCATGGATTCAATTGCGCGGAATCCACCAATTTTGCTACACCTAGATGGGTAGAGTATGGAAAGAGAGCTACGCAATGTACCTGCAGTAAAGACATGGTCAAAATATCTATGGACACCTTTGTGAAACGTTTTCAACCAGATAGGTATGTACTTAAGTAACTTTTGCTTAAAAATTATTTAACTTTGTTACGACACTTGCTAAACACGATGCATCGTCCAAGTATCTAATACAATTAATCCTCTAATAACGTAGGTATGATTTGTGGCTGCGAGGCGAGGATATCGGTCCCCATCCTGAGGATCCTAGGCAGACTGCTGCGCCAATGCCGTCTCAAATGGATCTATTGTGTAACACTTGTAGCAATGGCGAATTACCGCAAAGCTACTTGAGCGCGACGCCAAAAAATAAACGACATATGATTCATAAGAAGAAGAGCACAAGCACTAATTCTGCTGTTAACATGGAAGAATTAGTAAACCGCTCGGATATTCCCCCGGATGTTAAAAAGGCTTTGCAAGATCTCGATTTTGAGGAAATAGATGAGGCACCAGATGAGCAGCAGTTAGAGGTCTTGGAAGATATTTGGCTCAAAGCAGGAGAAATGGGTAAAATTTTGTACCTTTTTTCTGTTGTTATTACTATAACTTTTGTTACTATACAGGATGAGTTTTTTAATTTGAGACTGCAAAATATCTGGAAAATAAACATTGTACGAAAAAATGTTCCAAATAAACCCTCAATCTTTTCGAGGGGGCAATTTCATCCCGCAAAAATCAGCTACCGATCCCCGCTTGGAGGTGGGGCGGAGGGTAACTTTAAAATCTTAAATGGGAACCCCTATTGTTTATAATACTATCTTATTCTACTAATTAATATGAACAACTTTTGTCTGAAATATTTCTTTATTTACCTAATACTTTTTGAGATATTCAAGAGAAAATTGATAATTTTTTCAATATTTAACTTATGATATCTTGATAACTGTTTGTTGGAGGGAAAAGTAGTACAAGACTTTTTTACGTGATTTGGTCTCAGGAATATGTTGCAATAGTGCTTCAATTATTGAAAATTTTTGTATATTGTAACGTACACAAAAATGTTTAATAGTAGTAGAATAAGATAGTATGATAAACAATAGGAGTTCCCATTTAAGATTTCAGAGTTACCCCCCGCCCCACCTGCAGGGGGGGGGAGCGGTAGGCGGCTAACTATTGCGGGATGGAATTGCCCCCTCGAAAATATTGAGGGTTTATCTGGAACATTTTTTCGTACAATGCTTATTTTTTCAGATATTTAGCAGTCCCAAGTTAAAAAACTCACCCTGTATGTTTCATATAGTTATTCCGTGAGTTCACTGATCGTATACTATTATTTTAGATATTAATGAAGCAAGTGTGTATGACGACGGTTACAATCGCAAGAAAGGCAAGAAGAGGAAGAAAAAGCAAACCTTAGATAAGGAGAAGAAACCAAAAATGGAATCAAAATCCAAGAAAGATGCAAACAAATTTAATGTACAGGGTATAGTTAAAATTGAAGTGAAAACTGAGGCTAATATATCTAGTGAATTTGAATACGTATCCCAGGAAAATATCGAAGAGATTTCTGTACCTCAAGGAAACTATAATGATAAAATTATTATAGAAGATAATCTTGTAGACCCTCTAGAAATAGACGTCAGTACTCCAGGTAAATTTAATCCTTCAGAAATTAATGAAAAATATAGTAAGAAGAAAAAGAAGCATTCCAAACACAGCGAGCCGAAAAAAGTAAAACCGAAACGTGTGTCTAAAAGTAAACGCAAGCACGATAATGTACCGTTCCTTAATCCTACGTCAACATCAGATGCCACTGTGCAATGTAAAACTGTATCGCTATCTGATTTAGATATAAATCAGATATCTAAAATCCCACAAAATATAAATGTGATTCCAGGAGATTTTAATCTAGTGCCTGTAACCGTTTCGCTTAACAAGCTTAAACCGGAAATCACAAATCAGACTAACATTACTCAGATAACGAATCCGGCATCTACCAATGACGAAAGAGACACGGCAAAATCATTGATCAGTATAGCGGAAAGCAGAGTACCTTGTGCATCGACAAACGGTAGAAGTGATTTTCCAAAAATGACATTTACAAGTACAGGTTTTGCAAAGACCCCTTATGCCATTGTACAGAGTACAACTTCTGGATGTCAGAACGGAAGTGCAAACTACGTTGCGCCCATTCAGATTAAACAGCTTACCAATGTAAACTACAAAAACATTGGTGCAGTGCCCATGGAAAACAGATTAATAAAACCTAATACTAATCGTAGAAACTTGATAAAAGCACCTCGTTTGAAATTGCCATCCAATATATCGATTCCACAACATTTGTCGATTAAACCACAAACTGAGAGTTCTGCTGAAGATCCGCAAACCCCGGCTACGTCAAAGAATAATATGATTGACGTAAAACCACCGGGTATATATTTGTTATTCCATAAGAAGCCTCCAGTTTTGAAGAATGAAACGGAAGTACAGCAGTACACTGGAAACAATATCAAAAGTCCACCATCGTTAGAAATTTCAAGGCAGATTCTACCTGAAGCTACTACTCTTACTCGTTTAGATACACCACTGAATACAGATTGCACGCCTATATTATTCAATCCGTCCCAGCCATTTAACCATGGCACAAATTTCAAGAGTGAGAGAACGATGGGACAAGCACCTTGTATGAGCGACGGTCCCGAGGAATTAATAACCATCATGCCGCAAAATCCGTATTTAGATATTTCTAACCCAGTTCAAAGGACTGCAATGTGTGGTGAGCAGGATTGCATTCAGTTTCCTCCTTCAACTGTATCACCCATACCAAAGAGTACAGTCATAGCGCAATATCCAACGTATCCTCCCGCTCAATTCATACCTCATCACGTACAAGATACCGAATTGTCGACAGTCGCAAATGTTTTACCTGTACCTGCACCTTCAAAACGAGCTGCACCAAGAGGAGGTACCAAGAGTGCACCGCGTCAAAGATCGCAAAAGGGAGCGTCACGCAGAAAGCCGGCGGCAAAAAATAACAAGTCGAATAACAACGCATCTTCTAGTACTTCTCAAGCATGTATTACGAGTACTTCTCAAGCAAGTATTACGAGTACTTCCGTGGGAACCCAGTTTAATAGTCCTATTGATTCGACGTGGACGAATCTGTCCGATCCAAACATTCAATCCCGCATTACAAGTACGCAAAACACGTTACAGGAAAATGAGCATTTAAATATATTTGACAATAAGGCACAAGACTTACAAGGACAAGAAGAGAATACTTATTTATCTTCACTCGCACCTAAAATGGCACCGGGACGAAGAAAGCCCAAAGAGAAAAAGGCCACAACAAGAAAAAAACCAATCCTTCCTCCTACAACATCTGCTCCCGCGAGCATTACTTCCCCGACTGTTACTTCTGCGGCCGTTGCTTCTGCGACCATTGCTTCTGCGGCCGTTGCTTCTGCGGCCGTTGCTTCTACGTCCGTCACACCCGTCGCTGCGTGTGCTATAGACGTTGCTCCTATGACTTCTACTGCAACGACTGTTGCTCCCGCAATTGTCGCTCCTGTGATCGAGGCTACAAAAGATCAATGCCACAACTCTCCCGAGATACCACAGCTCTGCAGTCAGCCAACATCGGTAATACCAGGACACATTTCTACGATGATGTATCCGAACATACTAAACCATGAGCTGCTGAAAGCATTCAATAATTATTGGAGCGCTCAAGTGTCCCACTGTGCGGTATGCGCTACTTTTGCCTTGTGCACAAGCGGAAGCAGCAAAATGATGCTGCCTGATTGGAAGTATTGCGAATCAGTTACGCTACCTGAGAGTACGCCGATATGGGTAAGGAAATAATGTTCACAACAGTAACTGTTAACTTTTTCAGTAGCAATCTTCTTTTGTATGCGACAAGAGTTGGGAAGATACTGATTGAAAGAATCATTTGTGTACATTAGGTGTCGGCCAGCATTTTTGCAGCAAACTCTAAGGAACAAGTCATTGAGCCAGAGAATAACAAACTTTTACGATGCAGAGAGTGTCATGTAACCGTTCATGCATCTTGTTACGGTATAACTATATTACCTGTGGATATCCGAGGTTGGGCCTGCGACAAGTGTAGAGCTGGCAGAAATGATGTGGTGCGTATTTAATAGAACTGTTTTCTTTTTTCTATGTTTGTCAACGTCAAACATGCGTCTTATTTAATTCTGCTTTGTTACAGATGTGTTGCCTATGTCCGATGTATGGCGGTGCTATGAAACGAACCAGTGACAGCAGATGGGCACATATCTTGTGCACGCTTATGGTGCCAGGAGCCACATTCAAAGATGCCATAAATAAAGATCCTATCAACGTATTGAGTCCGATCATGGTGGACTCGTGCAACAAGAAATGTTGTTTCTGCGGGCAAGTTAATGGAGCGTGCCTGAAGTGTAATCAGTGCAACAATGTGTTTCATCCGTCTTGCGGTCTCGCTGTAGGCGCTACATTTATCATACCGGTGTACAATTCACAGGAACTTCAGGTATATTCCCTAATCATAAAACATTGTTATTAAGCAAGTTTGTAAATATTAATGCTAATATTATGGACATCTAGGTAACGTGTAACGGACACGACGAGGGCAAAGAAAAGATTCCGCAGATACGCCAAGGAGAGACAGTCTGGGCAAAACATCGTAATACCCGATATTATCAAGCTAAAGTAGAGGCTATCCAGGACACTCTCTTTTACATGGTTACATTCAACGATAACAGCTTCAGTGACGATCTGTATCCTTCAGATATAATCGTAAGTTTCGACAGGCCCTTCTTATCGTTTTATTAATCCAATATCTATATAATTATACAACTAATGCCGGCTAATTTGTTTAATGATCGAAGATTAAAGCTTATTTTAAAATATTTGAGATATTTTTCAAAACGTGCTATACATATATTTTTGCTCCTTATTTAGAACTATGATCCCGGAAACACGCTTCCGCTCGGAGCCGCAGTAAGGGTGAACTGGACAGACGGTCAGATATATGACGGCGTCTTCGAAGGTACAAATCATCGAATAATGTTTACTGTAAGTAATTGCAATATCTCCATATAAAGATCAACTTATTTTATATTGACTATTTGATTATTAATTATACACACTTTTTCTACTTAGGTGATTTTCGAGGATGGCTCTCAACTCGTTTTAAAGCGCAATGAAATCTATAGTTTACAAGAAGATATGCCAAAAAGAGTGCGTTCTCGTCTGGTGAGTTTGGTCAGAAATTAATATTATAAAGTAACAATAATGAACGTGGCTTATTCTCTTTATTTTATTATCTTTCGTCTCTTTTTTTGTGTTATTCTTACGTTTACTTTTTTGTTTCTCTGTTGGTTTATTAAAGTCAGTTGCAACTGAAATGAAGCACCGCTCTCATCTTTATGGGATAGAAGATAATAACATAGAAGCGCAAAGAAAAGTGAAACCATTGAAAATTTATGAGAACTGTAATGATGTAATGTAAATAAATTATTAAGAGAAGGGAGCATAGAAATCATGTTGTAAATAGTTGATATATAAAGTATATTTTATAATCGCGATTGTCTTCTCTAACTCGATTTAATTTCGGACTGATCGAACGATAGAAACTTTCTTTTCCTTTATGTTCAATAATTTTTGTTTTAGTTAACCGATGTTTTCAACGATGAAGAATATAATTATGTATAAATTTTTATGTTAAATTATTAGTTTACAGTACTGTGCCTATACATATAATTCGATGTTTTATCCATACATAATATACATTATTTTATTAGTGTTTATTTGACTAATATACATATATAAAAGTATATGAGTACGCATACGCACGCACACAAAGTATGAGAGGGAGGCGGAGCGAGAGCGTGTGTGCGTGCGTGTGCGTGTGTGCGTGAGTGTGTGTATGTGTTATAACTATGTATTTATATATGTATATTTATTACACATACGTGTATATATATATACATAGTTATATGTATTTGTGTACCTAATAATGTTTTAACGGCAACAATGGAAAGTATTGTAGATATTGTTGTTATGAACAGAAAGTTTTATGATAATCTTTTATCCGAAACTAATTGAGTCCTACCAGTGTAAAAGTTAAAAGAGATAAAAAGATCACTTAAAAATAATATGTCCAAAATGTCAAGAAATATATTTAAGATATCAAAAGATTAATGTATATTTAACTGAACAACAAACATGCATTCTCATAATTATATTCTCTTCTTATTTGAGATAAAAACGCCAACAGTTACTTAAATTATAAGTAACTCTCTTATAACTTTGTACGATACTTTTCGTTGATACCGTTGCTTATTGTAATCGAATTATATGTTGATGCTGTGTTTCTCAGTATTTTATCATCGTATACTTTAGTATTCTCGAATAAATGTCTGTAAATTGAAACGTTCCACATTTTTTATACAAGAGGCAATTGATCTTTTACATTTATCAATTTATGAATCAGAAAAACTATTTGCAAAAATAAACCAACATGAGAAGCAAACATCAACAAGCACATATTTTTTAAGTGTATTTATATAAGTCTATTTTTCATTATAATGAATAATATGATTAGAGATAATTTTAACGATAGCTCACACGTGTGCATTAGTTTTATGTATTTCATTTTAAGAATAGATGTCTAAGCTGTCATAATTGCATTACAAATTTCGTGTTCATTAAGACCAGACGTGTTAAGAGAATTCATCAGTTGCTCATGAACATATTGAACAACTATTTTTGAGCTATGAGAATTTCCAGTTTATTTATTTTCATTAACATCATGTTGTAGAATCCATCCAACTAAGTAGAAATTTACTTGAGTTTTAAGAAAAGAAGTAAATATAATATCCTATTATTGCTTAAAGTATTAAAAATAAGCCATTAAGATGAAAATATGAGACGAGACCATTTTATATCATCTAAGATATTAGATTACTTTCAGATTACTTTCATTCACAAGAAATTAATAATAATGTATATAAAATTTACATATACATATAACATAGAGATACTAAACATGCAGTTTCATATTAGGTATATATGCAATATACTATAGAATAAATTCGATGTAAATTACTTTATCTCCATAATCAGCTGATGGAAGATTGTACATTGTTGAGTCTTTCACTAATTTTACTTCTAGTCGCTATTTTTATTCTGTTTTAATACTTAAAGTTACAAGAGAGAAAGAGCAAATTAATAAGGAGTACAGTATTACCTTCCTTGTAGAAATTGCTGTGATGGCAATATCACTTTTGTGTATGTACCTATGTTTATGACACATGTATAAAAAAAATATAACGAACAACAGAAAATATCCTCCAGAGAATTATTAATATCCAAAAACAAGACTGCAATTATTGTTATCACTGTTATTATCGCGAATAGAAATAATCTTTTTGTAGACGATGCTTACATTTAAGTACGCTCTTCTAAGTATCATTAAAATGAATGTAATCCTTATCTTCACATATTAATTCATTATGATTAAATTTTAAGTAAAGTATAAAGTATAATTATATTTATAAGATTAAGGGAGAAAATTTGTCAGTTTGTTATTAACTGTTCAAATGCTCTTATTGAAAATAAATTCTATTGTAAACTCTAAGAAGAATGCTATGATATCACAAATAAAAAAAGTTTTGAAACAAACTATAATTGCACAAGTTGATTCTCACTGACTAGCTTACATTGTGCAAACGCGAAGCGAAATACAAAATGTATCATTATACATCGCTGCACTATGAGCAAAATATAATCAATCTTAGAAAATCCGTGGTTTTGGATAATAATATTTTCATGATAAATTGTGTCGTTTTAATCCAGTATTTGACTAAAGGATGACAATATCTAAATATGCTGTTCTGTTAAGAAAATTGCAATTTATCTGGCTTTAAGATTATATTTTTTAACACTGAATCTAATCTACAATAAATCGGTCAATTAATAAGAGATGAATCTAATGATATAATTTATTTCCAACAATGTTTCTCTATATGCATATTAAACATGTCTCACTTTCCTTCAAATTATTTGTAATTCATGACTACATTATTATAAGACTATTTCTTCGTGGTCATTTTGTCTTCATTGATGTTGCAGACATTAAAATACAATATTTAATGTTAGGATTGTAAATTATATTTAAAAATATGTGCTCATATATACATTTTCAGGCCTATTCGTTGGTTAGTTAATGGGATTGTGTCATTTTTGATTGTATTGTATTGTATAAGGATTTGGAAATCATGTACTTAAATGTAGAAATGGTAGATGCAGCAAAAAATAAAGAAAATAAGAGTAAATGAATGTATTTAACAATTTATAGTACTCTTTTATCACATATAAATTGATTTTAACAAAAACTAATATAAAAGAAGAACTATAGTATTTTCTCTTACAATTAGAGAAATTCGACGATCATTAATTTTTATTCTCTTATTTTTCAATAAAATACTTTCCTTACATTATTATTTCAGAAAGAAGATTGTGTTTCTTATGGTAAGATATTATGTGCAAATAGAGAGTGCCAAATATTTAGTTAACAAAACCACATATCCATAGATAATATTAAGAACGATTTAAATAAAATACTAAAGTGTAAACTACAATATTGTATTGTTTAGTGCATTTTTAGAGCTTTAAATATAATTACAAGCTATATTAGCGGTGCTCAAATGCACGCTGTATCATGTATATGCATATACATACACAGTGTGTATGTATGTGTGTGTGTATATATATATATATATATCTCTCTCTCTCTCTGTTCTTTAGTTATCACTCAGGCTTATATACAAATAGATACTTTATAGAAATCTTGTCATTAAATCTTTGAATATCACCGCCTTTTGCGAACAAAGTTGTTCACGATTATAGCGTCTTGTCATGATTAATACAAAATAACTCCGACTAGTACTTTATTTCGCTAAATACAGTACTTTAAGAAACCCTTGCTGGTTTAAAAGGTATGGAAAATTCAATAATGGCAGCTAGTCTTCTCTCAATCTTCTCACAATCTTCGAATAGAAAAGAACATCCCCGAAATGTCATGGAACATCTCGTATCTAGTGAGACCAAGGACTAAAGAAATAATAACTTTGCTAATTATGCTCTTTTGACCTTAGAATTTCCGATGGAATCGCTCCCGTGGAATTTCTTTGTATCTTCACATTTCTCATGGGAAATGCATATTAGAATTCTTATGTCGTTTCTCAAAGGGAACGTGTGCACTACAAAAACTCTATTTGACAAAATCGTGTTTGGTTCATCTTCTGTTGAGCTTGCACCAAAGCGCGCTGGCCGTTAGAAGATGCATCAGCACTCCGATACCGAGGATGAGTATCAGATTGTTGACCACGTTTATATTGGTGATGTCTAATTCGATGAGAAACGTGCTGGGCTTCTTGTAGTGACAATAAAACTCATCGCATAGCAAGTCCATTCTGTTGGATCCATACATGGTGTACACCAGACTGTGGAAACCCGCTCGGAAGTATGATACATAGAACATCCAACGGAACGCATGCGGCGTGTCTACGTATTTTAGGCAGAAGCCGAAGATGGAGAACAGCACCGCGAGTATCGGACCGATGAAGACTGCGAGCTGCAAAGAATTACGAAAATTCAATTTCTTTCTTCCTACGTACGTTTAAAGTTGAACATTTTAGCATATTTGGTTGTAATTCTCAATGGATCCGGATGTGTGTGCAAGAAATTTTCACATTCTCATATGAAAAATATGTGTAAAAATGCACATGCCCACATACGAACGTATTAAATGTCTACTTTAAGAACTTAGATCCGTCATGTCATCGATATATGTGGATTCGATGTCTATTAATTGGATTTCGAAATGAGATCTCGTGCAAGTAATAAAATTTAATTTGTAATTATGACAAATTAAACTTAAAATACTTGTGTACAAATCAATTATCGGACGTCTTTTTCTAAACGATAAAGAAAGAGGTGTAACGTGGCGGTTCAAAACTTCTGTGCAATTTTGAACAATTTCTCTTGATTGTGATTGTGAGTAATACACATTTGTGAAAGATAAGCGAAAGGACAATCTTTAAGTTTCGATGATGAGAAGCAAATGATGTATAAATGATGTATAATGATATCTGCAACAAATAACACAAGAGAAGTTGAAAAAGAGAATCAGCGTGTTAGAATAATTGTCCAACGATGAATATCTGTGACTTAATTATCCGCATTGCGTAATTTCAGAATTGTGTACGGATTACTTATTATTAAAGGAGGAGGCATATACATTCCGCATTTCGAGGAGATTTACCTTGATCGGCGTAGTAACGCCGATGAAGAAACCCCAGGCTTGCGCCGTCAGACTGGCAGCTATGCTGAGTACCAGGAAGAATATTATACGGTTCGTTTCTATGGGCTGTCCGGTCAACCAGTAGCTTATTACCAGATACAATGCCGCACACGCCGCTTGCAATGGTATCTCTATCAACAATATGCTGATATAATACGGCGCCAGCCGGTACCAGCGATTGAAATGCTCCCTCATGAGAATCCGCATCTCCAATGGGACTAAAACAAATATAAACTGAGGCTGAACACTCATTGAGTACCATATATAGTTCCAAGTTTAGCTCGAATCAATTCTGCTGATTAAACACCGACTAAGTTAATCGGAGTTTAATCGATGTTGCCTTTAGAGACACAGAAATGGAGGGGACTACATGCAAGGGGACACATTTGCGTGTAGTGAATGAGAAAAGGATCTCGCACATTTTATATAGAAAATAGCTTTCGGTTAGATTTCGCTGAAATTAAAATATATTATTGCCCACACCTTCCCGATAAAAAGTGTCAATGGGCACAACCTCCTAAAAGCAGTAGTCTAATTGTAAGAGCTACAAAGCCTCAATATTAGGATTTGGAGGTGAAGCATACTGATTAGACGTTTATTTTTGTCCAAGTAAATGCATATACTGGGTGTTAAAAAGTCTGGACATGGTCGAATATCTCCATAAGAAAGAGTTTTACTAGAAAATGTTTCTGACAAAAGTTGTTTGGTTCCGAGGGGGGAGGGGCATAAGATGAGATCATTAATTTGACCTTGAATAGTTGCTCGAAAGTCACCTTTAATTTTTTAAATAAAACCCCCTATTGTTTATTACATACTATCATTCTGCTAATTAATATGAACAACTTTTGTCTGAAACATTTTTTTACTTGCCTAATACTCTTTGAGATATTCAGGAGAAAATTGATAACTTTTTCAATATTTAGCTTATGACATCTCAATAACTGTTTGTCGGAGGGAAAAGTAATACAGGACTGTTTTACTTGATTTGATCTCAGGAATATGCTGTTGCAATCGTGCTCCAGTTATTGAAAATTTTTGTGTATGTAAATTTTGTGTATGTCACAATACATACTTGGAGCACTATAAGCACTTAAATTATATTAAAAGTCCAATTGATGAAATCCAATTATAAATTGCTCGTATGAATCTTGATTTAATTATCTCAATTTTTTAAATAAACAAGTATATTAGCACTTAGCTATATTCATTTTTATTCTAATTTTAAGCAAAATGTATTTCTCACGATAGAATTGCGCAAGATTCATCGACGTGTCGTTGTGGGATAATTTATTGAAAGTTAACAACCGTAATATTGAGACATCCATCATTCGTTTATGATTACCGAGAAAATAAATTATCAAATCGTATCCACAATAAATTACTCAAATATAGCGATATACTCAAATGAGCATTAAAAGTCTAAACAGAAACGTTACTATTCGGTCTGAGATTCGAGCCCGTTCTCCTTGAAAACGCTGCAGGATGCACCGCGGCGAGGCTCGCTCCAGGTAACCGCTCTATGAAATTCGCAACAGCACAAAGATATTCGTTTCCTTGACCTACATCTCGGAGTAATGACAACGCGGCGCCGAGTTCACGAATAACACACTCCACTTAATACAGCAGTAATGAAGATAGATAATTATCGCCAACTTACATTTCGAAAAATAACTGACAATGAGATTAGTGACGATAGCTCTGAACAACTGTGATGATTGATGTTTTCCACAAATAGTGAAATTCAGGAATATATGTAGGTACTACATAAAATTTCGGAAATCAAATAAGTCCAGAGTGAAATCCGTTTCTACCACGGTGGATCACATGAAGTCATAAAATGAAAAAATAAAAGAAACGAGTGAAATCTGGCCTTCAATATCATTCGATCTAGCACGCGCGACGAAGGTAACGCGAGAACGGTTCTCGCTTGACGGAGTCAAGCTGTTGTACGCTAACTTAGAAAATAAAAATTGCAGAGTATCGGTAGCGACCGCGTCAAACCGCCTTAGGTTTCTCCGAGAGAATTCGCGAACGTGACACGACGCTGATACATTTGGTACATTCGATTAAACTGAGCGCACGTTCTATTTATTTAGTGAAATCTGTCCTGATTAAATAAAATTAATATAATTTTTAAATAAAATCATGCAAATTTGACCAATTGAAGTGTCACATGGTTGCAATTGAAATATCAAATGAAGCTATGTGAAATTAAAAGTCAGATGAAATTGGACACGTCAAAAAAACAATTCTATCGTATAATGTAACTAACATACTACTCTTTCCAAGATTGGAAACGTCAAAAATACAATATAGACGTGGGTTCCGTCGTATAATGCAACTAAATGCCACAAAAAATGCATCTAAAATACTAGTCTTTCCAGTTTATCGAAACCAAACATCTTCGTGTGTAATACAGGGACACATTTCTTTCACCAGTATTTTTAGAAGTTGCGATGCAACAACAGCTAAATTTGCGTTCTCAATATTTACATATATTAACATATTATTCTTCATAGGAAGACCAGTATATATGTAATGTGGTGTATTTAATAACTCGTGCCATTAATTATTTACATTCAAACGTGTACATGATTAATGAAAATAAGCTATAGATACCCGAATTAGGTGGAATTAAGGAGCTGGAAAGCTGGCTGTGATAATTGACGTCTAAACGTGATGTTTAACGGCTTTGACAATAATTAGATACTCACAGGCAAGAGTAACGGCCATCTTTCCGGTATACACGAGGAGCAATAACGATCCGTACAGGTAGACGTAATTCGCTAAGACATTGGCTCGATAGCCGCTTCCCATGTACAAGTACCCAAAGATTATGCCGATTAGTAAGTGACAGAGCAATCGCGCCATCAATAACGAGTAGTCTCTTTTCATGCTTAGTAGCTGCCTCTTGTAAAGAAGATAGCACTGCGTCAAGAAACCGGCGGGTGGTGGCGGTTCATTGATTCTGTCCGCTAAAATAACACACAGAAGTCAGTATTGATAAACAGAAAGAACAACTTTGCTGAAGTTTCTCAAAATTTAGCTAAATACAGATTTAAAAATAATTTGACATAAAGAAATCAAGAGCCATAGGATATGAGCATTAGGTAATGTTATTGTTGAGAATAACTTTATTGATCCATTAAAATAATTACGTAGAATGCTCACACGCTGTTTGCCAGAATGTTAAAACTTTTTTTTCAGACCAGTTATACTTGAACATAATTTCTACATAATTCACCTTGATGGTTCAATATAATTATTACCAGATCTGTGATTAGTAAAATATTTTGCTGGAGATTAACTTGTAAATTTTATCGCATTCGTAATCTTGTCGAAGCTCTTTAGTAATTTACTACCTTGTGCAAGAATGTTAAGATGAATTAAAAGTAAGAAGTATAGTTTTATATCTCCACCAGCGAGCGGAGAGGCAGAGAACGAGAGAGAAAGAAAAGTCTTTAATATGAATAACACATGAGTTTAACTATAAATACAATTCAGATAAAATATACTTCATCGAGTAGGTAAGTAGTTGAATATTTATGCAACTTTTGTAAAAAAAAAGAGCCGAGTATCTGTAAAACGACATTACTAAACCATTTTCATATACGCTACACCTTGAGTCGGAACAGTACTAAAATTATACCGAATAACATGAATAGCAAGAGTTATATGCGTTTATAACATCAGAGTTGCTCACTCGCAGCATATTTTATTTTTTCGTTGTAATCTTTTAGAAAACTTGAAAGTTTCTGTGAGTTACACAACATTTTCTTCTTACTTTTATCTATTCGAGATTAGAATCAGGAGTCCGATCGTGAATCTTTTCCTCTAGCGTGAATTCGTGAAAGGTGAAAAATTTTATTGAGTAGTGAAATTCTTCGATGAAATTTTTTAGTTTTCACAAGTTCACGCTAGAAGAAAAGAATCACGATCGAGCCCCAGGTTTATGACCGAAGTATCGATCGGTAAGTTCGTGCAGATTTTTTAACGAAACTGAAATTATTAATACACAATTGTTAATTAATTATCAATTATACTATTGGTAATTATTAATTAATTTTAATAGTTGCTCTCAAATGCCAGTTAAACAAAAATCTGCATAAACTTATGGGTCAACCTAATAAAACTGAAGAAGAAGCGACCGTACTTTCGTCATGCAATCCCGTGGTAAGACCGACAGTTGTTTTCTGATCATTCGGCATCGTTTCCACCGCTGCCACTAGCTTGTCAAGCGCAATCTCGTACTCACCAACCGCCACCTCGAGAACTGAAACGAATTGAAGGACCCGATTTTAAAGTCATTATTTCTAGAACTATAATTATTACGCCGTTGTGCATAACGCTTTCGAAGTGAATGTTGACCGTTTCAACATCCGCGCTGCGCGCGTATCCACGTTGATTTGCAATCAGCTTATTCAAGCACGTCATTACGAGACGTTGACACGCGATTGTTCGTGTGCTATCTCGGTGTTTCAAGTGAAGAGCTTACAACATATCAAATCCATAAATAGACGACGGCTATTGGGGAAAGGTCTTTTCAGAATCATACTCGCTGTAATTTATTCGCTCGTCCACCTGTACCTGCGATATATAAAAAAACTTTCCAGATTTTAAACTTTATTTACTCGTTACTCTACCTTAATTTACTCGAGACTATTACTACACACTTGAGTTCTGAGTCAACCCGTTCTTACATAACTTCGTGCAATTTATAAAGGCTCTTTTAAGATACGATTTCGCGATCTTGGCGCGGACCACAGTGAAATACGGCCTTGGTTCGTTTCGGTCGGCGATTTCTCATTTTGTTAATTACACATTCGCTATCTATCAGAAGCGAACCGTCGGAGAGATCCAGCTCAGGCTTATAATTGCCATAATTGTTCCAGCTGCGCTAGGAAATTGCACGTACCGAAATCCGCCGGATTGTGATAAGGCGGACAATGGGCGCCGATGGAGGCCAGGTGCGGTAACAACGAGCTAATCGGCCCTCTGTATATGCAGTAACCGTCAGCCACCACGTATAGGGAGTCAAACATCTCCAAGAGCAGGGCGCTCGGCTGATGAATCGTACAGATTACCGTACGCCTTTCTAATTCCGCCAATCGTTTCAGTAGCGCGACGCACTGACTGCACGAGGAGGAATCCAGGCCTGAAAAGGTCAATAATTTCCATTGTAGGTGGCCTATATACAGGCTAGTACACTTTTCTGTATTGCGTAAAGTATTATACATCTCGCAGTCGCCCAGTACGCGACGCGCGGGCTCGAGGGCGATTCCCCTGCGACCCCCCTGATATCTTCGCGTTATCTCGCGAGACAATGCGCGACAATATTGCCCTGCGATGACGCAATCCCAGTGACAGATCGTAAGGTCTATCGCTGCCACGTGCAGCGTTATTAAGCAATTGCGAGAACATAGAATGAGGTAATCAGAAATACAACATCGCGGGTCGCGAGACAGGCAGTTGCGAGACGTCTGTCACTGTGCGACTATCACGGTGCGACATGATTATAACTTCACAACGTTTCTTTTTTAACACGCTGTGTAATCCTAACACATGTGTGTTATACAATGACGCTTGTTATAAAGTATTAGATTTTATCGCAGATAATTATTAACTGCAATTTATGACGCGATACGACAATGGTAAATCGTTAGACCCATTATTGTTGTTTGTAACAAGATATAATGTGGTAATTATTAGTTTTAATTTATGCAGAAGCCGCTTCAGAGCCTCCTGGATCAAGCAAATGATTAGTGAAGTTTAGAAAAATGAGCAAAAGTCCGGACAAACGTTGTTCGCATGCTAATTATTTTCGGCTTCTTACGAACACTGTAATAATTAGCTTGCGAATTAATGAGCTGTATATATTAAAATAGTTGTTATTGTTCTATACGTCCTTTAGACATAAGACGTCTAATAAATGTCTTTTAGACATGCATGTTCTCTGGGTGCCAGTACTAAGGCACTCTCGTATTATTATCTTATACTATTATATATAACATTCTTGTCAGCCAGTTATTAGATGTTTTCTGAATGAAGTATGAAAATCGTAATATAATTTAGCAGAAACACCTGTTTAATAAAATTACGACGTATATTTTATTTTCGAACTACACAAATACGTTATTATTTACGTCTGCTCTTCCAATTATTGTAATTATAGTTTTTCTACCAAGGAAGTTTATGTAATTTTCCTCCGTTATGTAATCTGACTTTTATCCAACTTTTATTCAATTCTTCTAGAATCACGTTGAAGCATCGCGTCCGTCGAAATCGCTTAAGAATTAATTGGATCTTGTACTTTTTATTGTCTTTTAAACAATTTTGCATAACATTGCTAATCTGTAATAGCGTATATTATTTACCAGTCGTTGGTTCATCGAGAAATAATACTGATGGATTAGTTAGGAGTTCCAAGGCGATGTCGAGTCGCTTCCTCTGCCCCCCCGACAACTTTCCGCACAACGTGTCATAGCAGTGGGTCAGCCCTAGCATCTCCAACAGCTCCAATACCTGCACGCGTATACATCGAATAGAATATTACATGAATGGAATTAAAAGATGCCGGCAGGCAACGTCCAGAGATAACGGGAAATGTGAATTTATAAATCGTACGTGTCGTGAGACAAATGAAGAGGACAGGAATTCATGTAAGAGTCGCGGATCCTCCTCTTGCGAAATTGAACGGGGGACCTTTCGTATCATTTCAAGAAGAAGGAAAAATTCGGGCAACCCGTCAAAGCAGTCGGTCAATTATCACGAACCTGAGCATGCTTGTAAGCGGAGCTGATTGTATAACCGAGCTTCAAATGAGCGGCCAAGGTCATTGCCTCTCCCACGGTGAGGTACATTCTGAGAATTGAGTCCTGCTGTATGTAACACGAGGTCCTTTTCCATCGTTCGCTCTGCGGTACTCGGATCTTACCGTTGACCCGAACTTCTCCGCTCACGCCCTTCACCCTGCGCATTACCATCGTTATACTTGTAACATTACGAAGGAAGCTACATTCGCGAAAAAAATTTCTAAATACTCTACGCATGAAATCAGCGAAGAAGTATGTTACGAATGTTGCACGGAAGAATGTATGTTAAAAATGTCTTTATGCATAAATTATATACAATTGTCTATAATTATACATAATTATATACAATGTATATATCTTTATAATGTTATTTATATGTAATGTTAATTATACACAATTATGTATAATATATAGACAAATTTTATAGAATTATATTTTGTATAAATACGCGTGAAACTGGCGGAAAAATATATTACGAATGTTGCACGGAAGAAAATGTACGTTAAAAATGTTTTTGTGCATAAATTATGTACAATTGTTTATAATTATACATAATAATTATATACAATGTATATATCTTTATAATGTTATTTATATGTAATTATGTATAATATATAGACAAACTTTATAGAATTATATTTTGTATAATTACGTATAGCCATTAATTATGTATAAAACATATTTAACGGGGGGAGGGGGGTTATAAGTATACTCGAAGCCGATTTGCCTTCAAAAGTACGATACAGCATTGAAGTCTCGTAATATTAATGACTATGTAATTTCGCAGTAGCCATCTTGCGTTGAGATATAATTCGTATCTATCATCGCGCAGCTATTTAAAACGAAAGTAGAGAATAATATGTAGGGATAGGCACTTTATGCTTTTAAACACCTGTGGGTTATGTCAGAAAAAAATGCCTGATTACACTCTCATTATGCGCGAGAACTCTAGGGATTTTCCGCCAATTATGCATATGTTAAATCCGTCATTTATACACGATTATGTTATTTCGAACTTTTACGTAATATATAATAGCTCATAACTTGTGAAATTGTATGAAAATGGGAAATATAGGAATGGAGCATCTTAACAATTATCTTCAAACAAAAACCCCCAAAACTATGCATTCCAATATGTAAGAAGGAAAGAACGATACAAGACAAAAACAAAATAAGTAGTATTACAACATATGTACTCAATAAAACATGCTTATACATGTCAGGTCAAGACTAGTGTTGCATTGACAAAAACTTTCAATTAAAATCTTGATAAAATGTTGAAATATTTCACTATTTCTCTAAAAACCTAATAAACTTATATGGGCTACGTTCCACTTAACAATCGCAATGTTCGCGGAACCATTTCATCCTCGTTTCTTACCGAAAGTTAAACAAAGACAAGATTGTGTTCACGAGCGTTGCGATTGTTAAATGAAACGTACCAACAATTTGCCCTAAAACTTGATTACATGCGCAATGTTTCATCTTGTATCTTTACACCATTCGTCGCTCCTTCTCCCCCACCGTCCCTCTCTTACTTCCTTGGAATTTCGAGTTCGAGATTCTCCAATTGAGAAGCTTCCGGTAGCTTTCAAGTGATTGGAATGACAAAACGGGAAAAGTGTATGATTTTAAAAAAGTATACGTCCATTTCCCCAAATCTAAGGTCAGTATTTGTAGTTAGATCTTATATTCAAGACCGTCTTAAGATCATCTTTAGATACTCCGTAGCCAATGAAATGTTCCGTACAGCATCTTTAGATAAATTCAAAACGGTCTTGAATAAAAGATCCGACTATAAATACCGGCCTAAGTGTTTTAAAGGCAAACACCAACTTCTTGTGGCAATTATACAATAATTATGTGCAAATCGCATTATGCTGCGCGGAGGATCTTATTATTTGATTGAAATCTATCAATATTAAGTGTGTATCATACAAGAACACTTTACTATTCGCAAAAGTCGCTTGCTTTAAAAAACATCTTATGTAGACATGTTTTTGTCTTAAGCAAAGTTGTTTCCGGTTTTAAGCTACTTCTTTTTAACGGAATAATACATTTTCTCTTGCATTAAGGTGAGACCGTCGTAAGAAGTGAACACTTTACGAAATTCCATATTTTCTCGTGATACAAATTCCGATAGAAAACATGAAATATCTCACTTTTTAATATCGGTGGGACGTGATCTCTGATGCATATTTGCCACATCATATTGTAAGCATAGTCGCCGCGACTCATAGTATTTGACGCGAGCGGACTAATTAAGTAGTTCAGCACAAATACTTAACACTTCACGACAATAAAACTTATCTTTTTATGCTACTTAAATAATCACACAGCGTCATACGTTGAAGAAAATGTCTGAAAAAACTTGATATACATACAGCCGAGTCACAATTCCGTCTCGGTACCGTTCGTCAACTCACGGTGAATCGAATTCAAGTTTCTTGCATCATGTAATTTAGTATTCATATATAATCGTTATTGTTTTTATATTTTGTCAAGCCTCAGATAGCGTACGGAAAATTAAATTCAAATTTGTCGCATTATTAAATTTAGATACGCATCTTCTAGCGTTCGCGTTTTATGTGCCCAATCGTTCCAGCGGTGGATCACGAAAGGAGGGAAATCCCAAAAAATTAGCCACATTTACTACTATCTGAAGCATTGTTTTCATAATGAAATTTGCCTATCGAGCTCCATTACAAACACAAACGCGGTTCAGTATGTTTCCACACGGCAAAGTATTTCTGATGCTTGAATCAGATATCCCGGTAATATTTGAGTACTATGCAATCAGATATGTATTCCGATTTTAGATTTTATCTCCCGGATATCATTTTGATATATTTTGCTGCGTAGGCTATCTTGTCGAAGGTCAGGTTTCCACCGCGCACTGTAACGTTCAATTCTCGAACCACTCACGAGACCCACGCAAATGAAAATAAAAAGCATAGAATAAATAACTAAAGTTTCATGAGAGCCTTTTTAAGATATAACTCAAATACATACGGGAATGCCAAATCATACTTAGGTCCGGGCAAGCTGGAGGTAGCCTAATAAATCTTTCGCAGAAAAAAAAGCACGTTAACCAAACATACCAGAACATACCAAAGAACTTATCAGATCGTGGATTGAGAGTAAGATTAAATTGAAACGTATTCAATCAGAGTGCAAGATTTATTGATCTTAAGTGAATTTTTAGTGAATTTTTATTATAGTCAAATAAAATTTAATTTCAATCCCAATCCGTAGTCTGACACGGGTTTTAAGGAATACGACGACGAGAAGCAGCGCGTAGGTGGAGATCCGCGCGTACACGTGGGAAAAACAAATTCCCCCCCCCCCCACGTAGCACGTGGTCATTATAACTAGTAGGTCCACTCCGTCATTTGTTTCGTTTTGCGTCGATCCCTTTTGCGCATCCGACATTGCTCTGGGTAGACCAATGAGAGAAAAGTTATATGTGAGGTAATGTGGCTTTGATGAGTACGTATATACACACTTCCTCCCAAGTTGGAACAGTGTGTGGAAAATTAGGGTGGACATCTCACGGACATTATTTTTCAAAAGTGAACCATGTCATCTGAAACTCCATGCAATTGTGTATCTTTCAACATGGCTAGAATGTATCTTGGGCCAAGCACACAGTGTTCAGATTATTCCAAAAACCGTCAGGTGTTTATGCCCCACCCTGTACTATGACGTGGTAGTTCACATTTACATTTTATATACGTTTCTTAAATATATCTAATGTTTTATAAACGTTTAGGAAAACCGTATAAAAGATCAACATGTTTTACTTGGGAGATTTCCGAAGTTGCGGGTGTGATCCGTGGATGCGGACGTTGGGAACGATCTACAAGTTTTTTTTTATGCTTACGTGAAACCGGCGAGAGCGTTGAGCAGTGTCGATTTCCCGGCTCCGGACGGCCCCATTATAGCCACCAATTCGCCGGACTTGAATTCGCCACTGACACCGTGCAGAATTTCTTTCTGATCTGCAACATGACGGCGCACGTGATCGCTATTATGTGATTGCATCATTCGCATCATTGAATGCGCGATGATTCACTGCTCATTTATATCTCGGACGCATTCCTTGGGATAATATCTCTTAGCTTTATAGCCGCATCAGCATGAGCGTGCGAGAAGTAAAAAAAAAAGAGAAAACACAGTCAGCACGTCGTCATGGAACATTGTAACGTTTAAACGCAAGTCTTTGGTTCGCGTCAACCCCGAGATTTATGTAATGGATCAGAGTTTGTCAGCAGCTGCTTCAAGGCTGCGTTTAAGGTCATTGACCTCAGATCACGTGACGTCTTATTTACACGCGTATGAAACAACGAGACCACAGTAAAAAGAAGAATATATGCTTTATGCAAAGAGATAAAATCTGAAACGTTACATTGGAGTCAGCACTGCGAGTTACGGATGCAATTTTATCCCCCGCATAAGTACAAAAAAAAACGTGAATAATAAGAAATCAATGTCTGCAATCTTTCCCAAAGACACTCAACTTTGTAATACTGGTGGGATTTGCAATTGCACACGTAGACCGCAGAGAGTGGAGTTATTTGCAGTTTAATGGAATGCGCGACGTGATTATCTGTAACACCTTGAGCTCTAACGCGTTGCAAAGGTCAGTATATGTATGCAAATATTAATATTTATCTACAGACTTTTTATACAAATTATCATAAAGAAAAATTAACACACTTTACATCTTTCTTATGCGCGCTAAGAGATTAATATCTAAATTGAATTAAATCGCGCGGAATTTATTTACGGTAATATAAGCGGAATTACAACGAAATTTTGCCTCGTTCTTAAGCTAACCATAGGCGTAGGAAACTCTCATTGACAAATAGCATTTCTGAACGACTCGATTATTTCCGCCAACCTTGCACACGTTCGCCTAAACAAACCTTGAACTGCTTTTACGATAAATTGATAACAGAACATTCTCGTTGACGCTAATCATGTAGCGGTCGTTGATCAGACTGTTATGCGACAGACTAGGAAAGCCCCTTTTCCTCATGTCATATGTCACCGAGACAAAGACAGAGACGGGGGGGGGGGAGAGAGAGAGAGAGAGAGAGAGAGAGAGAGAGAGAGAAACTGAGTGATATTGAGTTGTATTCCCTCTTAATCACATTTTATGTAATGCGTCGCGCACAATGTCCGATCGCTGAAGGCATTCTATAAACATGAGATAACAATTATTGCTTATAATATATGCTTGGGTTGGAAAAACGTGGAAGCGAAACGAGCAGGAGTTCAGCCGAGAAAAGAAAGAACAGAATTCAACGAAGTATCTTTGCATGCTCCTTAAAAGTCAATCGATGAATTATCACTGAAAACAGTGAATAGTCACAGTGATTTGCAGTTCTAAATATACTACTGGAAATTGCAGTGGTGTACTTACTTATAATTGTAAATCAGTGATTATTCACTGTTTTCAGCGATTGCTTTCGTCGATCGTAATCCCAATAGGAAAATTGTAAAAACATTGCACAATAATTATTTAGAAACAATCGTGCATTTTTGTAACCAGACATGTGGATTAATTTGATTAAAATATTGATCTTTTATAAAGCATTAATAATATTGTATTATAATCAAATTAATCCACATGTCTGCTTACAAAAATGCACGATTGTTTCTAAATAATTATTGTGCAATGTTTCTACAATTTTCCTATTGGGATTACGATCAACAAAGGCAATCGCTTCACTTGGTCCTTCACTCTACGAGCACGACAGGCACACATTCCGTGTGCCCAAAAGGAAATGAAAATTCATTGGATTCGTCCTTCCTCTAGCCGCTCTTAAGCTCTTACCATTGTAGAAACATCTCACTGATTGTGAGATAGATATAGAAACGGCATTCTACACTCTGCGTGACTAGTCCTCTTCCATTCTCGTTCTGACCATAGACATATAAAAGATAGACTGCTTATGAGGTAGTGGGGGATGTCCTCCTGAGGGAAAAGGACAACACCAATTTATTTGGGTATCTATCTTCTTCTAGTGTACGTGATCACGTGTTCACGTGATCACCTTCAGATCACGTCCACTAGAGGAACACAGATACCCAAATCATGGACCTAAGAATC